ATAAAGTAAGTAAAAAGGAGAAAACCCTGTCACCTCACTTCTAGTACAGTTATATGCATACACCATTTTGTTTAGTGAGCCCTTCCAGTCACTCTTTTGTTTCTCAGTCAGTGTTTTTAACATCTGAAGCAAAGTTCGATTGAATCTCTCAACTTGTCCATTCCCTTGGGGGTGGTAGGGAGTTGTCCTCGAACCAGCAACCCCACAATACTCCTTTAGTTGGGCAAAAAGTTGGTTCTCAAATTCACCTCCTTGATCATGGTGAAGTCTCAGCGGGAACCCAAACCTTAAAGCATAATCATTAAATATTTTGTCCGCTGCAGTTTTACCAGACTTGGATGTAGTAGCATACGCCTGGGCAAAACGGGTAAAGTGATCAACCCACAAAGGAAAGGGCCAACACCGGAGGAGTTTGAAGAAATAAAGCTCTCTCTTAATTCCTTGTGCGCGGATGTGACCGCGGTCAGGGGCAGCAGGAGCAGCTCCTGGGACTACTGGAGGAGGTCAAGCGACTACGCCTCCAGAACGCGGAAAAAGACCGGCGGATTGTGGATCTGGAGAGGCGAGTGGAGTGGACGAGCTGGAGCAATACTCCCGCGTGAATGATGTGGTCATCACGGGCATCAACATCAGGCCGCGCTCCTATGCGCGTGCGGTGACCGCGGACAGCGGGGAGCTCAGCGGCGTGGAGGCACAGACGGTGGAGCAACAGGTGGCTTCCTACCTCCAGAGCAGGGGGATAGAGATGGACCTGGAGCACATCGAGGCGTGTCATCCACTACCCACAAGAAGCCAGAGACCACCAGCCGTAATCATCAGATTCACCAACCGAAAAAAGAAAACTGCACTGCTGAAACAAGGACGCAAACTCAAAGGCACAAATGTATTCATAAACGAGCACCTGACAAAGAAGAACGCAGACATGGCAAGAATCGCACGACAATTGAAAAAATAAGGCCGAATTCAACAAACCTGGGTAACAAACTGTAAAATCTTCATTAAATTAAATGGCCCACCAGAAAGCGCAAAAGTCTTGGTGATAAGGAAGATGGAAGACCTAGACCAGTATCAACAATTCTCAAATTAACTTGTGTCATTCTCCATCATCACAATGCCCAAGCCGAGAACACAGACTGCATCAAATATGGACATGGACATGTTACAGTCAACCCTACAATATCAGCAAACGGACCTGGAGACGTGTGAGTACCATGAGCACACCACAACAGAGACAGACAGTGATATAGACCCGGACAATAACTTTCTCTCTTCAATTTCTCACAATTGCACTTATTTCACCCAAGATCAATATGTAAACAATGTAAAATCAGAAAACAAGCTGTCAATCATACATTTTAACAGTCGAAGCATGTACACTAACTTTGAAGCCATAAAAGATTACTTGAAGCAATTTACTCATCCATTTAGTATCATTGCAATAACTGAAACCTGGTTCAATGAGCACAAAGATAATATATTTTTTCTCGATGATTATGAACTAAGATACACAAATAGAACAAACAAAACAGGAGGTGGTGTTGCCATATACATCCACAAATCAATAACATTTTATGTTGTAAAAAATATGTCAATAGCTGTGGATGGCTTGTTTGAATGTTTAACAGTGGAAATACTAAATGAGAAAAAGACTAATATCTTCATGAGCTGTATATATCGGACACCTGGTTCGAGTATAGACAGCTTTAATGAGTGGATGGGTAAACTGTTTTCTTCTGTCAATCAAAAAAACATATTTATTTGTGGTGACTTTAATATCAATTTGCTTAATCCGACCAAGTTAAAAACTGTTGATGACTTCATTGACACCATGTACAGCCTTTCTCTATATCCAACTATAACAAAACCAAGCAGAATAACATCACACAGTGCCACCATCATTGACAATATCTTTACAAACATAATCGGGAATAAAATCAGCAGTGGACTTTTGGTATGTGACATCACTGACCACTTACCTATATTTACTCTGTACAATTGTAATCTAAAAAAAACTCAGGACAATACAGCAAAAATATTTAAACGTATAATCACTGATGAAACAATCCTCACCCTAAACAACAGTCTGTTGCTCCAGGATTGGACCAAGGTTTACAACGAACCAGATGTGGACAGTGCTTATTGTACCTTTTTAGACATCTTTACTTCATTGCATGATAAGCACTGCCCGGTAAAGGAATATTTCATAAAGGAAAAATGTAAACAAAGCCCTTGGATTACAAAAGGAATACTTAATGCCTGTAAAAAGAAAAACAATCTCTACAGAATGTTTCTCAAAGTTAAAACAGCAGAAGTGGAACAAAGATATAAGAAATACAAAAATAAATTAATGGATATCATAAGAACAAGTAAACGGTTATACTATGAAAACAAACTGTATGAAAATAAAAACAATATGAAAGGAACTTGGGATACTTTGAATAGCCTAATCAAACAAGGACATTCAAAGTTAACATATCCTGATCATTTTGTTCTTGAAAATGGTGAAGATTATAATATTAGAAATATAGTAAATAAGTTTAATGATTACTTTGCAAATATTGGGTCTAAATTAGCTGCTGATATTCAAGACAATGAAGTTACAGAATCCCCTATTAAACAAAATTCTTGGTCGTTCTTCCTCTCAGCAACAAATGAGCAGGAAGTAACACAAATCGTACAGACATGTAAAAGTAAGTCGTCCACTGACTGTCATGATATTAATATGACAGTGATTAAAAAAGTTATTCTGAATATTGTTAAACCCCTAACTTACATCTGTAATTTATCATTCCAGACCGGTTCTTTTCCAAATAAAATGAAAATTGCGAAAGTAATTCCACTGTTCAAAAATGGAAACAAACATGAATTTTCCAATTACAGACCCATCTCTCTATTGCCTCAGTTTTCAAAGATTCTCGAGAAGCTTTTCAATTCACGACTTGAAAAGTTTCTGGAGAAACATCATATAATAAATGAAGGTCAGTATGGTTTCAGATCCAAAAGAACAACATCAATGGCAGTAATTGAAGCAATTGAAGAAATCTCAAATGCATTAGAGCAGAAAAAGTATACAGTTGGTATTTTTGTTGATCTTCAAAAGGCTTTTGACACCATTAACCACTCAATACTACTAAAAAAGATGGAAAGATACGGAATTAGAGGACTGGCTGGGGAATGGATCAAAAGTTACTTAACAGGGAGGGTACAGTTTGTTAAAATGGGTCAGTATTTTTCAGACACGGTTGGCATTACTTGCGGTGTCCCCCAGGGGTCAGTATTGGGTCCTAAACTGTTTAACATATATATGAATGACATTTTTAATACATCTAAAGTACTAAAACTAATTCTATTTGCTGACGACACAACTATTCTATACAGTGGTGATGATTATAATGAGCTTGTAATCTCTGTAAACAAGGAACTACATCAAATAAAAAAGTGGATGGATGCAAATAAATTATCCTTGAATGTAAATAAAACTAAGATGATGATGTTTGGGAATCGCAACCTAACGTCTGAATCGAGAATAAGTATTAATGATATCCAAATTGAAATGGTAAGTGAAATTAAGTTTTTGGGAGTAAAAATTGATAGCAAGTTGTCATGGAAACCCCATGTCAGACACATAAAAACCAAAATTTCCAAAAGCCTCTCAATTATTAACAAAGCAAAACTATACCTAAATGGAAATGCACTCCGTACATTATACTGCAGCCTGGTTCTTCCATACCTGACGTATTGTGTTGAGGTCTGGGGTAACACTTACCACAACACACTACATCCTCTCATCATATCACAGAAAAGAGCAGTGCGGATCATCCATAAGGTTGGTTTTCTGGAACATACTCATAATCTTTTTACTCAGTCAAAGCTGCTAAAGTTTGATGATCTTGTTAAATATAATACATCAATAGTCTTGTATAAAGCATTCAACAAATTATTACCGTCTAACCTGCAGCGTTTCTTTACGACTCCTGAGCGAGCTCATAACTTGAGGGGTTTTGGATATTTTTCACTGCCGAGATCAAAAACCACTCGTAAATGTTTTTGTCTGTCAGTATGTGGAGTAAAACTTTGGAATAAACTGGACTCACAACATAAGCAATGTAAAACTATTCATCGATTTAAACTGTTCTATAAACATAAGGTCTGGTTACAATATAGAGATGAGGGTCTTTAATTTAATCAGATTTTCTCTGTCTCATAGTGTAACATGTGCTCAATGTTCCATTACCTTGTTAGTATATAGAATCTTGCTATTGTTGTTTTTTTCTTTTTTTGTTCATTACCATTGTTGGTATATTTTCTATTACCATTGTTGGTATATTTTCTATTACCATTATTGGTAACTGTTGTTACAATGTAAATGTACTTGTTGCCCGTGATAACGCCACTCTGGTATGATACTGGCTTGAACTGTAACAGTGAAGTTGATCGTTTAATCACTGAAATGGGGATATAGGGGTGGGATTAAATAAGTTTTTTCTTCCTCCCACTCCTTTTCAGGCAGAAATATATGGCCATGTTAAACCATAGATTTTTGTTTATACATTTTTTGTTTACACTGTTTTTTTGTTTTTTTGTTTTTTCTTGTGTTTGTCTGTTTTGTTTTTTGCTTTATATTATTTATATTACTTAATTGCTTTTAATTACCTCGTTTTCTCACTTTTGCCATTGCCTGAAATAAATAAATAAATAAAATAAAATAAAAAAAAGTTAACAAGCTTAAGAAGACCTTAGAGAAAAAGGACATCCTGATCGAGAAAGGAAAGGAATTCATTGAGAAAAGGGAAAAACGGATAGAGCTTGTGACTCAAGAAATCGAAAGCCAGATCAATGATTATGAGAAAAAAGCCCGTGAAAAACAACTTCAACTGGAGAATTATTGTTTGGACCTGCAGAAAGACACAGAATCTCTGCGGGAACAATTGGATACAGCAGATCAACTACATTCACAAGACGAGGCAAGGAATACGAAGCTGGAAACTGAACTCTCAAAGATGAAAAAGCTCCAACAGCAGCAAGAGCAGACGATCCAAGAGCTGCAGACCACGACACAGGAGCTGCAGGAGGAGCTGGATGAAGCAGAGAAAAATCACATCAAAGATACAGTTGAAAACATAAAGAACGTGGGGGAACTTGCCGAGACCAAAAGAGAACTGAAGAAGTCTGAAGCCGAGAATAAGGCTCTAAAGACTAGTCTTCAGCAGGCTGACAAGGACGCAAAACCCAAGGACCAAACTGTGGCCTACCTGAAGACTTTGCTGTCTGAGAAGCAAATGGCCGAGGAGGCACAGCACAAGAAGGTTCTGCAGGAGCTGAGCAAATGTGAAGGGCTGGAGAAGTCTTTGAAGGACTCAAATGATGAGCTGCGTCAAACCAAGCTCCAAGTGGAAGAGATTCAGAACGAGTTGGACAAAAGGATCCAGAAGAAGAGGAGGAGGTGGTGGAAGTGTTGCAGGGAGTAAACACTTCTCAGCATCACTGCATGTGGGAGCATCTTGACTCGTTTCAACAAATGAGTTGAGGTGCAACACACTCAGGGGGCGGGGAAGAGAGGGAGTCATTTAATTATATTTAACGTATTTAAACGGATTGAGACAAACCAATGACAGACAAAAATATGTTTCACTGTGAACGCTGAGACACTCAGTAATTATACGCAGGTCACAGAGTCTGTCTGAGGCTCGCTATATCGCTGACTGTTTGTCAGAGTAACAGAGTTGACTGAAACATTGCAACCAAACCAAAATATATGGAGTGATGGAAAAGGTGTTTCCTCTTTCAGGCGTGAGGGGTTAGCCTATCTTCTTAGGATTGACAAGATGTCTGCACGAATGAAAGGGAAAACATTTCTCTTCAAACCCTTATATTTTGGGATGATGATGTCTGTATCAACAACAACAATGTTTTTGCCGTGTCTGTAAAAGACTAAGACGAATACTGGAAAAAGTATGACGAATACTGTAAGTACTACAAAAGCTAGTAGTACCAAAAGCAATGCGATGAGTGACATCGCTATGAAGATCAGAAAAGTCAAACAATTGCAGAAAATAAACTATTTTAAAAGTTACATACACCAAAAGTAACAGCCCCCATGAGACGAGAAAACCGAACAAAACAAGGTATATTCCTGAAAGCAGAGTGCCTCAGACTTCTTTTTGACATCCTAAATCTGCTTGGATTGCCCTGTCTTTGAAGAGCACCTGTTTTGTTGAGCCTTGAACTACTCGTACCCTCTGCAGCACTCACCTTCCTTGCTTTAAACCATATTCTTGAAAGTGTTGAAGAATTGAAACTCACTGAAATCTGGCGGAAGATAGAAGATGATCGAAGAAGATAATAGAAGAAGAAGACGATAGAAGATGCCGGACTAATAACTACAACTATTGATTCTTTTTCTCCCATGTTTTTACGTCTACCTGTATTCAAGTTATGGATGTAAATGCTGGGGTAACTATCACTCATTTCAAAAACTTACTTTCATTTGTAGTTTTTGGAGACGGCTTTCTTGTGGCCCAGTTAGTCCTAATCTGTCTTCCTCCCAGCCATTGTCCTCCCATCTGCTGAATGGCATTTTCAGCATCCTAAGAGGATACCAACACATGATGATACAATAGAATTAATAAAAACAATGCATTATATCAACAGTTTTCTTCAATTATTATTCAACAGCACAAACCCATTTATTGAAGAATGAGACGAAGCCATAGCCTTTGGATTTTCCTGTAGCAATATCTTTGACAACCCGACAATCTCTGAACAAAACACACAACTCAAAATAAAACATCACTTTAATAAGGACTGACTCTTCAACTTACGTTATTTTCCCAAATGGAGCAAATGCGGCTTTGATGTCCTCTGTTGTTATCTCTGGACTTAAATCGCCGACAAAAACATGGAAATGACCTGAAACACAGAGGAAGAATGTAGCAGCAGAGAAGATGGTCCACAATATGCACATGTCCATTCTCCAGGAGGTTGGGACACTGGTGCACTTTTGTTTATAAGACGATTCCTGGTCTACTGTCCTCTTAGATCTGTCATTTCATCACATGGAGAAATGTTGGTTCTTACTGACTGTGTTCAAGTGACTGAGCTTCTCACCCTATCTCTAAGGGAGCGCCCAGCCACTCTGCGTAGGAAGCTCATTCCGACCGCTTGTATCCACGATCTCGTCCTTTCGGTCATTACCCAAAGCTCATGACCATAGGTGAGGGAGGGAACCAAGATTGACCGGTAAATCGAGAGCTTTGCTTTTCGGCTCAGCTCATTCTTTACCACGACGGTCCGATACAGCGACCGCATCACTGCGCACGCTGCACCGATCCGCCTGTCAATCTCACGCTCCATCCTTCCCTCACAAGGCCCCGAGATACTTGAACTCCTCCACTTGAGGAAGGACCTCTCCACCCACCTGGAGAGGGCAAGGCACCTTTTTCCGGTCGAGCACCATGGCCTCGGATTTGGAGGTGCTGATTCTCATCCCAGTCGTACTTGGCTGCAAACCGTCCCAGTGCATGTTGCAGGTCCTGGTTCTTCGGAGCCAAAATGACAACATCGTCCGCAAATCTCTGCCGGCAATGCGAACACAGCTCTGGCTCCAGTCATACAGGGATGGGACGGCCCTCAGCAGAGGACCCCGGACCCCGTACTCCTGGAGAACCCCCTAAAGGACATCCCGGAGAATGCGGTCGAACGCCTTCTCCAAATCCACAAAGCACATGTCGACAGGTTGGGCAAACTCCCATGAACCCTCGAGTATCCGATGGAGAGTATTGAGCTGGTTCAGTGTTCCACGACGGGGACGAAAACCACACAGCTCCTCCTGAATCAGGGATTTGACCATCAGTCGTAGTCTCCTCTCCAGTACCTTGGAGTAGACCTTACCGGGGAGGCTGAGGAGTGTGATCCCACGATAATTGGAACACACCCTCAGGTCAACCTTCTTGTAGAGAGGGACCACCACCCCCGTCTGCCACAATATTGGCACTGCCCCCGATTGCCATGCGATGCTGCAGAGACGTGTCAGCCAAGACAGTCCTCCAACATCCAGAGACTTTAGATATTCAGGGCGGGAAATGGAAGTATCTGCCCTAACATCCTAAGCCTCTGACGTGACGGGGGGATTGAGGAGAACCTCAAAGTATTCCTTCCACCGCCCGACAATATCCCCAGTTGAGGACAGCAGCTCTCCACCCGCACCGTACGCCGGTGTTGGAAAATAACTGCTTCCCCCTCCTGAGGCGCCAGACGGTTTTCCAGAATCTCTTCGAGGGCGACCGATAGTCATGCTCCATGGACTCTCCAAACTCCTCCCAGTCCCCGGTTTTTGCCTCTGCTTGGCCTGCCGGTCCTGGACAGCTGCCTCAGCAGTCCCACGAACCATCATGGCTCGATAGGACTCCTTCAGCCTGACGACATCCCTTACTGCCGATGGCCCCCACCGGGTTCGGGAGTTGCCGCCAGGACCAGCACGAGAGAAGACCTTGCGATCACAGCTACGAGCTGCTGCATCTACAGGAATGATAGAGGTGCAGAACATGGTCCTCCCCCGGAACCTGGGAGAAGCTCTCCCTGAGGTGAGAGTTGAAAGTCCGCTTGACAGGGGGCTCAGCGAGATACTACAAGCAGACCCTCACTGCACACTTGAGTCTGCCAAGATCGACCGGCTTCCTTCCCTGCCAGCCGATCCAACTCACGACCAGGTGGTGATCGGTTGACAGATCCGCCCCTCTCTTCACCCGAATGTCCGAGACACACGGCCGAGCTTCAGATGACACGACAACACGTGGCGGGCTGAGATGGGGGGCAAAGAGTATGGCCACCCCCGCTCGCCGCCTCTCCCCATGGGAAACACCAGAAAAGTGGAACGTCCAACCCCTCTCAATGAGCTGGGTGTGTGTGGAGGTGAGGCCGACTATCTGCAGTCGGTATCTCTCAACCTCGGGCTTGGGCTCTTCCCCCCCACTCAATGAGACTTTCCTGGTTAAAAAAAAGGTTAAATAAATACAATAAAAACTTACTGCTTGTGTCTTTCTTTTGACTCGTCGGTGTAGTTGCCCAGTTTACTTTGACTTCCTGCAAAAAACAAAATAAAAGTAAAGTTTTATGGCAGGATTTCAACGTCAAACGCATTTTGCCTATTCTCCACAACCAAAACAGCCTTTGCCATTTCTGCACAACACAAAAGAATAAAGAGAGTGGAGAGAAAAGGGAAACGCTTGTTTTTTGTCACACCAATGAGAAATGGAGCAAAACTGTAGGAGGTAAGGTCCAAATAATGGGGACTTACAAACAAGAGATTTTTACGAACTTGTTTTACTCCTCAAATGGTCCTTCAATACCTGTTGAGGATAAGATATTTTCAATATTTTATTTGTGTTGCGAAATTGTAGGGATGGAAATCACTTTCCGGAGAGGAAAAAACAGGGAAACATAAAGGACCACAACGAATCACTTTGGAAGATTTAGACAACTTCACAGTTAAACTGTTATTGTATCAAACAGTATTTATAAATGGACTTATGGACTTTTTACAATTACTCAAATTGTTACATACAAATAAAACCAAATATATGGCACTGCATCCACAGCAACATTAATGTGCATTTCAAAATGTTTTCAGAAGTTTGACACCATTATAACAATGTGTACAATACAAAACATGTATATCTACAGTAGGATCAGACCAAGTGTTTGATACGTGAGTTTACAGAACAAGTATTTGTTATATTGTATATAGAATATAACCTTTTTTATGTTTAATCTTCTCATGTTCTCAAGAAAAACCCATTCAATTACAATTGTGGTTTAATAACTGCCAACCACATTCTGAATAATCAAAATAAATGCATAATCAGAGAATTATCGGGAGAGCTAACGACACACTTATCGTTAGCGCTTCACGAAAGCAGAGGATTTGTGTTTATGACATTTACCACATCCTCTGCCGCCTCTTCACTCGATGTCACTTACCTTTCCCAGTATTTTCCGCCCGTTCATAGCAGAGATTGTGGCGGTAGCATGTCTATGCTCATAAAACTCCACAAAGCAGTAAGGGTCGTGACCGGCCGTCTATCACAGGAAACAGGAAAATAACACTCATTCATTTCAAGGTTAATGAGTTTCCAGTTAGTCTCCTCAATTATCAAGCATTTTCTCATGTGAATATACTGCACTGAAGGAAACTTATTTAATCCATTCATTCATTTCAACATGACTAGTATGATACTAACAGCTGAACTGGAGAGAGTCACTAAGAATACTGACCGCTTTATATTTTCATATTGTACAATTGGAGAGACATATTTTTGGAGTCAATTAAAGGTTCTCTCAAAATCATAGGGGCAAGTCCTGCTGGCAGAATCTAAGCAGAGTGGGGCCTTGTCAGTACTATGATGGGAAACCACTGGAAACACCACAGTAGGAAAGCTAAGGCTTTATAGTAACTGTCCTTGTGTCCTTAAGCAAGGCACTTCCCCACAGAGGAGCTGAAAGCAAAGATTTACATCTTATATTTCATCAGTTTTTCTCAGGGCAGCAGTGGATACAATTCAGTACACCACCCTATCACAATGTAAAGCATCTTCATGCACAATTTTTTTCATCTCTATTATCACTTTATATTTCCTTATTCTGAAATATGAAATATGAAATACTTACATCTACAATCATTTTACAGCTCTTGCAAGGCCCAATCTGACCAAATAACTCCAAGATCAGGGCTTCTGTAACATCCCGAGAGAGATTCCCAACATACCTTAAAGACAAACACAAATAAACATGGTTAAGATTTGTTCAATACAAAGGCATACATTTATTCTAACGTTCATAAACATAGTTATGATTAAAATAGTGAAATCAATACAAACTGGAAAGAAAGAACATTACAGACAGTTGCAACTATATTCTGATATTTTTGGTGCATGATATATTTGGTGAATGCTTTATTCAAGGGAAAGCCTATTCACATATGACATGTGTTAAACTGTTATACTTATAGTATAAGGACAGTGTGTGAGTCTATACTAATAGACAGTATAAGGACCTTTGATCAAATATTATGCAGAAATATGACTAATCTTTAAGGAAAATAAGACAACTAATAAAATAATTTACTGGGACGCCCACTGAAAACACATGGAAGCCCAGTGGTTTACTTTCTAAAAAAAAAATGCGTTATTTGAGTGTGCTTGAGACTATTGTACATGATATCCCCTTGTACAAAATAGATTGTGTGTGTGTATATATATCCTTTCAGTGAGATTGGTTCTCAATCAAGCACAACATACAGAGTGGGTTTCAATTCAACAACGTGAATGAAAAGGGAGGCCGCGTTGCCAGATATGAAGTAGGCTGTATGTTGTTCCTCATCCAGATATTTCTGCATCTGGCCTATGTGCATCCACCACAACTATTGCCATCTTGTCCCGTCACAACTGCACTTTAGAACAGTGATATTAACATGAGACATAACACACTAGAATTGATTTGTATTTAAACCTGCAATTCTTTGATATAGATGGAGATATGATGATGAATAGAAAGCTAAGCTAAATCTAACGCACTTACAGGGTTTTGGGCTGATCCTCGTCCATCATGTTTCTCGTTCTGGTCGAGAACAAGATACAACCCAGGAAAAAAAACAGAGAGCTGCAGAATCTATTTGAAAATGTAAATAATCTGATCTTTAAAATGAACCCATTTAGTTCCGTTAGCTCCAGACTGAACAATGGGAATGAGCCGACAGAGCCAGTGCGCATGCGCATCCACGCGTGAAGAAAACAAAACCATGCGACATAAAAGAACATTTCGTGATTTTTATTTTGCGAAAGAAATCAAATTAACACAAGAATTCTTTCATTAATCAGACTAACGTGTCACTCAAATACATGTGCTACAATCACACAGCAGGTTTGTCACAGTTCTACCCGAGATCATGTTTGATAACAAGAACGTAGCACTTAGGGGATCTATGCTTTATCCTTAAAAAGGCACAGTGATTAAAGGTACTAACAGATAATGAATATACGAGGACTCAACAATAGTGCAATTCATAATTGAAATGAATAGGTTTAAAATGATCTCAATAACAATCAAAAGATACAAGTGGCTTGTATTCTATTTTTCCACAGCTGTTTAAGACAAAACAGGATAATTTCATCACAGAACCAACAGCTATCTCGGCTCAAGAGGAAACGACGATAACGAGGGATGAACCCTGGGTAAAAGCAAATACATGTCCTTTAAATAAATGGAAGTAGAGGTAAAAAGGATGTGATGATCCAGGACATTTTTTTAACATGTGTTCTATTTTCGTTTTTGTGTCTTAACTGTTGATTCTCTGATCTGTGTTGGATATTGCAATGCTTTTGTTAAGTCCTCTGTGATGACTTCTGTTGTGATTTAGGGCTATACAAGAATAAATTGTATTGTAGGTACACTGAAAATGTCCTACCTTATTCCTCAGTATTTATCATTCAACAGTCTTATCAATAAGACTTACTCTACACTAATAATGTTGAGTAAGCAAAGTTACTTTGTCTCAAGAAATTAACTTACATTTAATTTGTCAAATATTTTTCCCATCTCAGCTTCACTCTGTTCACATTCTCACGTCAACTAAGTATTTAATTAAACAGTAACCATAACCTAATGACTAGTATTATATATTCATATTTCATCAAATAAATCAAATATCAAAGTAACGTTTCACTATTCAGTGAAATATTCACTATTTCACTATTAAGTTTACTATAAAGTAATGTGTCAGTAATACTGTAGTCCTACACTAAAAGGACTTGTTACACCCAACTTAATGAATTTATAAGTTAATTGAAATGAATTGCACATAAAGGAAACAAAAAATACAAAAACACCCATTGCACAGCCGTTGTATCCAGGTAAACAAATACTCATTATGGAAAATTAAGCTGCTATGTCCAGCCCACTTCACAGTCCGCTCTGGTTCCAGGTGTAAAATCTCCATCCAGTTTCTCCATAAGAATTGGAAAACTGGGGTAAGTACACAGCTCAAAAAGCACAATTCAATCTAATAAAACTGCTTATTATAAAGTTGAATAAACTGATTTTAAATACAAAATGTAGGTTTGATGGTCATTATTCACTCCATTTGCAGTATTTGTAAGAAGAACAAAGAAGAAGATAATAGATCTTTTGACTGATGTCATCTGGGACAGATATGATCATCATTGACGAGTTTTTCCATCCTTTTTATCTTGCGTTTATTCTTGGGCATGGGTTTGTCATACAGGCCAGTCTTAAGAAGATGTTCCTTACTGTGATGAATCTGAGCCCCATGTTGCAACTGAAAAGAACAGAGGGCTCTTAACGGCCTCAACAGGACCTGGGGAGACAAAATAATAAAGATTACAGTGTACCTACATCTTAATAGAGTAAGTAAAAGGAGTTCTAAGATTATGCATATCATTGCATGAACTAAGATAAAAGAAGGCTGAGCACACCTCTTGAATGTTATCATTACGTTCCAGGATGGACAGAGTGATAGCAGCACATTCAAGTGTGGAGAGACAAATATTGGAGGGCTGAGTCCGAATCACATACTGACTTGAACGGACTCTGTTGAGCTGTACCTGAAATGGAAATGACAAGTCAATTCTTAATCCATGTGTGGGTTTTTTGTTAATCAATATTTACCTGTTTGGGCAAATGGAACATACTGTTTTTGAGAAACATGTTTTTAGCTTGGCTCCAAGTACCATCAATGAGAATAAGATTATGTGGTGTATTTATTTTCTCTTCATCCAGTTCCTCCAGATTCTGAGCATTTGGTCCAGGGTACAGGATTAATGTTTTACTGTCTTGACAAATTGCTGCCAGGTCTGGATATCTAAAAAGACACAATGAACAAGCTATTATGTAACAGTTGATCAGGAGGGCCAGCTCCACTCTGGACTGCCCCCTGGACTCTGGAGGAGGTGAAGGACAGGAGGTGCTAGCCAAAGTCACCTCCATCACGGACAACACCTCCCACTGCACAGGACTGTAGAGGAGCTGAGGAGCTCCCTCGGTGGAAGACTGAGACACCCTCAGTGCAAGGAGCGCTACCACAGGGCCTTTATCCCCACCGCTGTCAGACTGTACAATAAGTCACATTAATTCACTTGCACTAGGACTAAAAAAACCTGCACTACTATTACCAAAGTTTCTTTAATTGCCACTTTTTCATCGTACATAATATATCCTGTATTTAATATGTTTGCACACTCCTTTCTTTTGCACAAATCTTGAGTGATTCTATCCATGCCAGATGTGACATGTAAATTTCTCCTGTGTAAGATCAATAAAGTCCATCTTATCTTATCTTATTGTTGGGACACAGATCGTGTCACATGTATTATACATAAGTATTCACACCCTTTGCTAAAACAATCAATGCAGAGCTCGGGTGCAACCGGTTTCTACTGATTGTTGTCCAGATGTTTCAACATTTTCCCTGGAGCATAACTGTGTTGAATTTTATTAGCTTAACATGGTTTGGAAAGGGACAAAACTGTCTATTTAGGAATAAGGATGTAGCATTGCAAAATGTAGAAAATGTGCAGGAGGTTGAATACTTTCTGAATGCACTGTAAATGGTGCATTGGCAAACTGCAACGTTTGAGGCCATTGATGGATGATAAGAATGTTTTTAAATTCCACAAAATTCCCATCGACCAGAAAATAGGCACATTTGGCTACATTAAATTCAATACCGTTTTAATCATATAAATATGGGGGACAGTAGCTCAGTTGGTAGAGCATTGGCCTTTGAGCCAGAAGGTCAACGGTTCCAGCCCACCAAAAGACGTTCTCCACCAACTCCCACTGATGTCTGCTGTCGTTGTGTCCTTGGCAAGACACTTAACCTCAGGGAACAACTGATGCCACAGTGAGGCGGCTGTAAAGTGCCAAACTGCTATTGTGTCTTTAGGCAAGACACTCCCATTGTCTAGAAAAAGTCTGGTGTTTGTGTGAATGGTTGGTGATGGTCGGAGGGGCCGCTGTCACATGCTGGTTGCCTCGCTTCTGTCAGTGTGCCCCAGGGCAGCTGTGGCTACAGTAGTAGTTTACCACCACCGTGTATGGAGTGAATGAATAATGACATGAAACGCGTCTTTGAGTGTCCAAAAAAGCGCTATATAAAACCGATGCATTAATATTATTATTATTATAATTATAGCCTGTTTGAAGATGTTATAAGAACATTAAGCTAAGTGAAGTTCGGACGGAGGGACAGCTTACCTTTCTTCGCCGAATCTCCTTCCAACTATGACATTACATTTACTTTGAGGCAAACAAGCAGCGAGAAGAGGCACAGTGCGAAGAACTCGGCTTTCCTGCGTCGGGACAGTAGCAGAGTTAAAACTAAAACTACTCAACAAAATCATGTAATGTTACAATATTTTGCAAAGAAGACTTACTTCATTGGGGTGTTGCACTATATATAAAGACGTGGACACATCAAGGGGTTGTTGTGGAAGAAAGGGACAGAGACAGACCTTCACAGGGCGACTACACGGAGGAAAAGTCACATCAGATCAATCATAACAGGCTTATTGTTTACTTCATGCAGATAAGTTCAACATTAAACATTATTTCATGAGGACTTTAATTTGCCTATTTTTTGTAACTGGACGTATGAGCTATATTCACTAAAATGTAAACTAACATTAGCATTTACCATTAGCTTACTGCTAGCTTACCGGCAACGTAAGCACGTCGGTCTTCTGTCTTCGGTCTCTACAGGAAGCACAGTCAGTTCGCCAAAAGCGTCTTCCAGCCCATTTTCCACATCACCCGAAGAACCGCTGCAACATCGTCTTTTCTCGGTTTCTTCAGTATTGCCAGACGTACAAAAATGACCCCTGTCCATTGTGTTGTGCTAACCTAGCTTAGAGCTCTTCCGGAGTGCTCGTTCAGAGATGCTGCACCTCTACCTGATGCCGACAGGGGGCGCTGCTATGCAAATGAATTCAGTAAACGTAAGAATGATTCCCATTTATTCATTTGCCAATTTTAGGCACGTTAAAACCATAAACCGATTTCAATAAATCATCACAATTAAATTCAACACATTATTATTTTATTATTATTATTATTCTTTGACTCTTGTACCTCTTCTATTTTGTATGATAGTATTATAGTTGTTTATGTAAATGTTTTTTTAAACCTCAAGTTAACAGTGATGGAGACTTTGAATCCATACAAATCATTGACAATTTTTGAATCACTTGCCTCGAACTGAAATAAATTATAAGGTATATTTACACCAACCAGACTAGAGCCAACAACCAACAGCCAACCACTCTATTGGCTCATGTTGGCCCAGGTTGGCTGAAAAGTTGTTGCGACATACACAGCTCCAACATCAGCCAACTCTGTATGAACATTTTGTAACGGCACAGGTCTTGCAAGTGTCTGTGACCTCCATGAAGCTGAATGGAAAGTGAAGTGGCATGTGCAGGGGGTTTGATTCACTTGTTTACTGTTGTAGCACTGAACACATGCACAGTTAGCAGAAACTTATCAGAAGACCCAACCGAGTCGTCCAACTACAAGTACTGAAATTGTCTCAATCACTTTCAGCTTGTCGTAACACACCAAACCAATTTCCAACTCCTCCAGATGTCGGGTTGGTGTATCTTGTTCCATAGAGAGTAAATACAGTAGCATGAACGAGTCAAGGCCTATTTTTCCCATTCAAAGGAATAGACCTTCACCATACAGAGATGCAAGTATCTAACAACTAAGACTTCAAACTCACTTGTACATTGTATATGGTTCAATTTTGTTGTACATGTACATTAATTAGACCATTTACTAACAATCAAGTGTATTAGTTTAATAAATTCTTCAGTCTTTAGTCGACACAAAAAACAAACAAGCAACGCCCAAAATTTGATTATTAGACTGAATGGATTTGGCTGAAGTGTATCAATCTATTAGTAATCAAATAAATAACAAAATATGCGTCATGTCAACCAGATTAAACTGCCTTCACAACAGCAACATGTTTTTGTCACATTTCATAAGTGGACAGACTGTTATCAGAGAAGTGGGGTAGGGTGTCTGGTAGATATTTAGGAAAGCTTAATCTATTAATAGGCGGGCTCAAGATCTGCCTGGTCATTTCACACATGCTTAACTCTGGAACTGAACTGTCTCTTGTTAAAACAACTGTTTAGCTTGTAGAGGAACAAGTAAGGCATATTTTTGGCATTCAAAGTTTGTCAATAGCTTTACACATAGCAGTACATAATTACAAAAACGACTGTGCAACTGTTGCTAAAGGATCGTACACTTCCCCGCTTCTTTGACTTCAACATGTGGGACTGCCGTGCTCGCTTTTTGCATCTCTTCACTTGACTCAATTTCCTTTGTCATACTTGCCTCCAAAGTCCCACTGTTTTCTTCAAAAGCGGCATTCTCTATTTGGGAACCTGACTCACTTATAGTTTTTGTTTCGGGCTTATTGCATGTATCAATTGTTTCATCAAAAGCTGCTGTGTTTTGTGCAGGGGCGGGCTCGCTGCAGGTCTTGTTGGTCTCGTCCCCATCACCCTCATCAGCTGTCTCGGTCGGAGAAGCCGTTTCTTTCTCTTCCTCACGCTCTTCCTTTGCGCAAGCTTCCATCTCCTCTTGTACGTCAACAGGAGTGAGAGGTGCCAAGTCGAGGCTAACCTTCTGAAGTGACGCTGCTTTCTGTTGCGCTGGACCAACAGAACTCGGCATATCCACATGTTGCAACGTTTGTGCGACTTCTTCTTTTCCACTCGCAGATATAACATCTTCGAAAGCGCTTTCCCAATCAGGGTCATCGAGGGGAAACTCAGTGAGCGAGTCTGACGATTGCTCTTGTGCTGTTTCTGCTACGATCACTACATGTTTTTTGTTTGTTTTTGTCTTGTCTTTTGTTGTTGTCTCATCTTCCTCCTCTTCAGCAGTACGAGACAACGGCTCAGAGAAACATGGAGATGAATTGGCACTAGATCGAAAAAAGTCTGTTACTTCTTCTTCTTCTTCACTGGTTATTACATTGTTTTCTTTGGGTGGTTTTGTAACCATGGTATCAAACTCATACACATTCTGAGATATTGTCCGCGGTGTATCCTTTGGACATTGTACGTTTTGCTTTTCTTCTATTCCCACTACTGGTGTCTCATCTATTAGCACATACTTCTCTAAGTAACCTCTGGCTTCCCTATCTGAATGCCTGCTGTGAAAAGACTTCTCAGATGACATACTTTCTGTATCCTCCTCTTTTTTTCGACTTCCTATTGCTTCTTCATAAAGGTCTGTGTAAAGAAATGCCATCGCTTTGGGCTCCTCCAGCAAAATCTGATCAATAATTTTGGGCGGCCCTTCAGGTAAATAGATTGGAGTTAAAATATCTTCTTGACTTCCAAACAATGTGGCACCAGATAGTTTTGAAGAAAGTCTAGAGGGTACACGTTTAAAATCACGAGCTTTCTCAGATGTTTTACTGTAATTGTCAGTGTTGCCATAGAAGACGTCATCCAACAGCTCACTCGTCATTTCCAACAGACTAATGTTATCTGCATGTTCCTCATCTGTTGTTAAGGCTGTGTGGCTGGAGGTTTTAGCCAGTTGTTCAGTATCTCTGTTAGCTTTGTCTGGTTTATCATGTTCTTGTTCTGGAACAGCAGGGCCTCCTGGAGCATGCGCCTCAATCAGGGCAAATGCATCAAAATAATCTAGATTGGCTGATTGCTTTGAAGGAGTTTTGGGTACTGGAGCTCCTGGAGGATCTGTTGTAGGTGGTCTAACTGCACTAACTGAAGAAACAGGTGTTGGAAGCCCCTCATTCTGCCATTCAAATACTTGGTCAGAAAAATCTATATTAGCTTTTACAACAGTACTTGACATCAAATATGACAAATTATCTTCTATTTCTTTGCTTTCTTCTTCATCTACTGTGACCACTTTAGAAGGGACTATAATGTTGAGGATTTCTGAACCTTCAGAGACCAGCCTAAATAACTTCTGTTCTTTATCATTGTTGGGATACCCGTCAGTCTCCACATGTTCATCTGTTTCTGCTTGGACATTGGGTTCAGAGAAACCAACAAGTTCTGGTCTACCAGAGATATTGTCAGAACTTCCTATGATTATAGGTTGTATGGCACCCTTTCCTTTAGGCTTTTGTCCTTTTTCCTTGGCCTTCTTTTGTTTTGAGATTAAATCTTCATCCATGACAAAAATGATTTTTCCAGCTGAAGAGGTTCCTGGAGGAGCAGGGCTTGTGGCTGTGATTGTGCTGAGATCTGCAGAGAGAGGTCCAGCCTCAGAGGCCCACGGTGTATTGCAGCGACTTGGAGTCGTCTCCCACTCAATACCACTGTCTTCCCCTTGCATGGTTACCATGGAGAAGGATGAGTCCATCATTAGGCACTGCATCTTTGGTTGAATGTTGTCATCATGAACAGCCTCAAGGAAACTTAGAAACACAAACAAAAGCCAATAAAGAAGTAGTCCCTATAAAATCACATATCAATGTTAATAATAGATTCAAAATATTGACAAATAATGAATTACATAACATTGTTTTAGTTTTGTTATGCCTCAGGTTGTCTGCTTCTGTTTATAAAACTACATTCAAAATCACAGATAGTTGTTTTTGTTATTATATAAGTGTCTTAGAAGAAAGCCTTTACCTATTTTGTAGAGTTTCCACTTCATCATTGGTATCAACCCTCTCTTCAGATACATCTTCTTGTGTCAACATTGTAATTTCTTCGGGTCGTGAAAAATCTTCTGTAAACGGATCCATGATTATAATGAATTGTTTTTGTCCTTTCTCTGCAAGACGAAGCGGCTCCTGCTCTGCCCTAAGCTACTGCGCCTGACACCAGTTTTCTTGCTCAGCGTAATCTTGAAATAGAAAGCTTACAGTGTTTCAGCTGAAGCATTTGCAACATGTAATGACTGGTACATCATCTGTTTATATGGTCTACAATATTATTATAAATGAATAAATTATGAAATGCATATGCCTAACCCTATTTTTCTAGCTGCCTATACTTTGCAATGTTCCGCCCATAGACTGTAAAAAATAAAGTTACGCCTCTGCTACAAGTGTGCATTATTAAAATTGCATGTATTTTCAAATTACTTTGGCTGGAGACTTTTAATCCACTAAGAAAGTATTTTTGCATAATATAAAATTATAGTTATGAGGTAAACGCTAAACCATGGACATACAAGCGCTAAACGTGAACAAAGCTAAACGTCAAAGTTTGGAGCCAGACGTGATGACGTAGGAGCTCGCCTGAATGGGATGCGAGAGGCCGATTATAATCATCTGCAGCACTGATGCCAAAGCTTTCACTGAATCCTGATAGAAGTTTTGGGGATATACTCATACATGGATACGCGAAGTGTTTGCGTGAATGGCAATACTCGGAGATAACCACACACCACATGGACACGTGGAGATGGAAGAATGCAGTCTTGTGATCCTTAAAAACATCGCATCGGAGGAGACTGGTTTTTGGTAGTGGGACGCGAACATCACTTTGGAAGAGCAGGGATTTGAGTAGCGTTAATGGCACAGTGGACCTCAGGAGCCAGGATCGCCATCGAACTGGATTTTAATCTCCAAAAATTTCCATTGCTCCAGGGAAGACGACTACGTGTGGTACATGTTAATAATATAATGTAGCAATACCGAGTCCTTGTCACGCTCCAGTGGGAAGTGGCACTACTCACACAGAGGACAGAAGCCATGATATTTACTCTGCAAAACGCGTGTGCAAAAAGCCTCAGTGCTTCCAGTCGTTCGAGCTCCGTGCACACGACAACTTGACTGCCTTAAATGTATGGCCAAACATCTCAGTCCTCTTTGCAAGCCAGCGCCGTCCTGCCCCGTTCATCTGGTTAATCCTCAAACGTGAATGACTGTAGTAGGATTTAAGCTAACTGCTGCTAGCGCCTTTTAGCATTCACACATAATTCTGCTGCAATCACCACATCTGCTTTTATTTTTTTTTAATTTTTGTTTTAAATATATAATTCAGCTGAGATCGGACGGGACACAAGTGACCATGTCGGGCTAGACCACACCACGGTGGCTCAAAGAAGTCACTGCACTGGGTTTAGAGGACCGAGAGGAGACGTCTTCCTACTCCCGCTGCACACCGCCCTCAAGAGACTTCCACAGGCGAATTTAGCTTGTTATTCTCTGCAAAATGGGGTATGTAATTTAGGCATGCATAACTGTCTGAATGCACAAGTTTAACCATGGCTGCACGTTGCTTATATGTATGCCATAATCATTTAAGTCACACTAAAATATGTGTGTATGAATTGATACTACCCCCCCCCCCCTCTCTCTCTTCATGTATGTGTCCAAACCTCATGTTAAATTCCACACACATATCTCACAGCTCTGCAATTTAGAGACTGATAGATCACAACAGTCTATGATCACAACAGATTAGGATGTAATGACAGTCTATTGGAATGATGGCATTACAAGTATATAAAGTACATATTCACACATCTAAAGAAAATAAAATATACAAGAGTTGCCTTTTTATCACTGCTATGTCCCTGGGATTGTCCTCGACACTAACTCCTGGGATGTAATTCTTGTGGTGTATAGAGACCTGCAGATGTATTGTGATCCTCCTGGTCAAGAGCGACCTAGTTCTTACTCCACATGAAGCAGATGATGTAGCATGTGATTGGTTTGATGTCATATTGTGGTTGGGGGTGAACTGCTTACCTCCTCGTGCAAAGCAGTGCGTCTCAAGCCGCTGTTGTTTATAATCCAGGCATATATATTTTTCTTAGATGTACTAACTTAAGTATGAAGTATTATTGCATTATGCTCCAAATTAGAGACAGTTTTAATAACCTGAATTGGAAGACATTCATTACCACTGAGTTTGGCAGTTCTGAATGAAATTGACACACGAAAACATGGTTATAGGTTGTGTTCATGTGACATCATAGCATTCGGAAGAGCCATTAGTTTGATATTGTGGAGGAGGGCAGCTGAAATATCTGTTAAAAGTCAGTTGTTTTAGACATTTCTCTATCATTTCTGGGCCAGTCACAAAGTTCCACTTCTTCGTCAGATCGTCTTTCTGATAAAAGTATCTAAGAGTGGTGAAAATACTGAAAAAACACATAGTTGATGCTGGCCAGTTGAAAGGACTTAATAAAGATAATAATAATAATGGTATGGTGCAGGTTTGTGATTCTATCAAATCATGATCTGGGAAAACATTTGGACATTTTCTTTCAAAAAAAAAATCTTTCCCGTCCAGTTCCCGTAAATATATCTTCCAGCACATGAACACAACTTATTCCAGTGGTATCACATTTAAGTTGATGTGTCAAAACCCTGTAGTGTCTCCATCACTAGGAGCTTGTTTATGGCAGATGGGCGATGTGGAGTGGACAGACCTATTCTGTGCCAAGTCCCGCTGCTTTGCTTTGTGAGTGGGTTAACTGATTGGCACTCGGATGGGATTGGGCTCAGGAGCACGTGGAAGCATCAGGGAGCAGTGTAGCTGGATGATGTTCAGTCCTGAGTCACATGGCACGTGTTGCTATGACTACACATCAGCTAAGTTTGTTTGTGTCCTTGCAACTACTGGCTGCAGCCGGAGGGAAAATATACATTACCACCGTCTGAATTTAGACACGGTTTTCAATTTAACGTTGATGACTTGCTTAAAGCTGGGGTACATAACTTGCATATCACAAAACCAATGTAATACAATCCATCCAACTGGTTTCTTGCTCTCACAACAGTGCGTTCCTATCACTAGCATGCATTTTCTGGTCTCTGTCATGTCTTTAGATCAGTTTTTCAGACAGAAAAGTGAAAAGTAGCGTCCCACCCTCACTCAGCCCAAAATAGTAACTTACTTATTCAGTGTTTTTAAAAGCATGCAAAAGACATTCAGTGCAACATCGCTTTCATGCGCCGGTAACTCTTAATCGATTGGAAACTGCATGTTTATAACTGTACGGCAAGTTATGGCTGATAATGTTATTACCAAGGCACACACATTTTTGATGTTTAATATTCTGTTTTTTTGTAAAACTATGAATTTGTGACATTCCAACTATTGAAATAATATATCAAAAAGCAACGGTTTCTCTTCAAAACTGACGCAAAAGACCAAGAGGGAAGTGGAAGCATGTCTGTGTGTATTGTTCTTTTTGAGCATGGCGGTAATGGTGGGAAATGAATATGTGTAAAGGTGGAACCAATACTTTAAATTTAGACAGTAGACATCAAAACAGATGAAGTTTGGTATAATAATTATTATGACAGCCACATCAAACCAGTAACATCAGCTGCTTTTTACCATCTGAAAACATGGTAAAAACGATCACATTAGTCCAGTTCTGGCATCCTGTGGCTCACAGAACAGACTTTAAAGCAGCTCTGTTTGTTACAAGTCTCTCCATGGCCTCGCACCAAAGCACATCTGTGCCATATGAACCAACTGGGACTCTGAAGAGCACAGGGACGGGCCTCCTGCTGGTGCCCAGTGGGGAGGCAGTGTTTCAGATTTATGCAGCTAGAATCTGGAACAGTCTTCCTGAAGCCTGAGAATGGCTTTTACTCTGATCATTTTCTAATCCTGGTTGAAAAGTTTTCTGTTCAGATGTGCATACAACTGAAGGACTGGATCTCCACTCTTTTCAATGTACTGTGATTATTTAGGATTGTATTGCCTTGTATGATCATTTCACCTTATTTTGTTTAGCACTTTGAGTTGCCTTGTTGAACTAACAAATTTCATTCCCTATAAGTTCAGATGAAAATGAAAAGTAGAATCCATAAAAAATGGTGCCTCACTAATTTTGTCCCTGCTGAATGTTGGCATGTGTCTTCTCTGTGGCAGTAAATCAACCAACCCCAAAAATACTGCAGGGTTCTGTGTGCGCCCTGAAACACACCTGCCAGAGGAACCGCTGTCGACGTACGGCTGTAGTCTACAGAAGACATCGATGTGCGATCAAATGTGAAACATTGCAAAACTATTACGTATCTGACCAAAAGTGCACAAGACAACAACTGTCCATCTGCAAAATCAAGTTACACAGAAAGTCCCGTACTAGAAAGCTATTCATAAAAAGTAGATTAAAATTTCAAGGTGCATTTTATGGTGAAGTTTCTATCATTGGTGGACTAATATGGCCCTAGAGTAAATCGGGCAAGTTCAAAGAGATATAATCCTTCAGTTGTATGCACAGCTGAACTATAGGACTAACTGATTGTTCATTCATTAATTCTAGTTGGTAAGAATCAAAACAATTTACAAATGCCTGGCTGCTGACTTTTTTACTGTCAACATGTAAATATGGAGTAGATCTTTATTGCAAAGCTATGTATTGCAAGCTGATAACAAAAATAGTTATTACCACTTTACATTTAGGGCGACAGTAGCTCAGTTGGCCTTTGAGCCAGAAGGTCATGGGTTCGAGCCCACCTCATGACTTTCACCATCGACACCCACTGTCTGCTGTCGTGTCCTTGGCAAGACACTTAACCTCTGGGAACAGCAGGTGCCACAGTGGGGCGGCTGTAAAGTGCCAAACTGCCGTTGTGTTCTTTGGCAAGAGACTTCACCCCCATTGCCTAGAATGAGTCTGGTGTTTGTGTGAATGGTTGGTGGTGGTCGGAGGGGCCGATGGCACATACTGGTTGCCTCGCTTCTGTCAGTGTGCCCCAGGCAGCTGTGGCTACAGTAGTAGTTTATCACCACCGTGTATGGAGTGAATGAATAATGACACATGTGAAGCGTCTTTGAGAGTCCAAAAAAGCGCTATATAAAACTGATGCATTATTATGATAACTGAAATTTGAGATGCATTTCAGAACATGTATTCTGTTTAAAACACATTATGTTTTGTGGCACTTTATTCATCAGCTGCTTTTTGTCTGATCGACAGAGAGCAACCCATCTTCAGTTCACGGGCTCACGTCTTTCAAATTGATCCCAGCACCAAGAAAAATTGGGTTCCCACAAGTAAACATGCCGTCACCGTGTCCTACTTCTTTGACAGTACGAGGCACGTGTATCGAATCATCAGTCTGGAGGGCTCTAAGGTCAGTGACACCGACAAAAGCACTTTTATTGACATTAAAAAAATGAAGAGATTCACACAATAATACTCCTTATGTTGACAACAATGGTTTCAGAAATGTGACAGCTTTAAAGTCCTTTTCTGAAGTTTGAATCAAAATGGGTCTGAATACTTCTATCAGGACAACAATTATTTTCAAGTCAAATTGATTAACAACAAAAACATTGATTACAATTGAATTTCCTTGAATATTATGTGTAAATGACTTAAACCCGCTCTGTGCAGTGAGGTTGAAGACGACGCTTAAGAGTAGAATGAATGTGATGAGGCTCTTTGTCGAACTCTAATTTACTGTAGCTGCAGCACTACTAAATACATTTGCATTTTTGTTCCTCTTTCATGGTGAAATATTGGTAATGAGGAAATTTAGAAACATTTTGTCACTTTTGATCCTATCACTTGAAATCTTTTCTCTTTTACTTTTTTCCATAAGGCCATTATCAACAGCACCATCACCCCAAACATGACCTTCACAAAGACGTCCCAGAAGTTTGGGCAGTGGGCCGACAGTCGGGCCAACACCGTGTACGGCCTGGGCTTCTCCTCTGAGAGCCACCTGCTCAAGGTCAGCGCCAACTGTTTATTCTGACGACTGTGGAAAGATCCTAACTATCCTGCTGTGATCTTAGTTTGCAGAGAAGTTCGCAGAGTTCAAGGAAGCCGCGCGTTTGGCCAAAGAGAAGTCTCACGAGAAGACTGAGCTAACCACTCCCTCACAGGTAACTCTCTCCTGCAGACGGGGTGGGGATGTGTGGGTAATACTGTTAAAACACAAAATAGATCCATTAATTAAACGTCTTTGCAAAGGTTTTATTCTTATTTGAGACATTAATTGCTGATGAAGGAAGGTCTAAAGGCATTCATCAACATTTATGGACATTGGTCATTCCGCTCTCTGTGGACCAATGGCTCCTATGTATTTGTTGTTATTGCATTTTTTGTGTTCTCTGATCAGTTGCCGGAAAATCAACAACTACTATGTGTTATATTTATGGAGCTCTATAACAGAAAATGTCTCACTTTAACACAGTGTTTGTCCTCTGAAGGAATGCTAGGGTAGTTTTCATCCTCAATTATTTTTCAGGCTCTCGTTGTTAGGGGCAACATGCGTCCCGTCAAACTTGGTAAAAAGAAGGTAAATACAGAGAGGTTTCATGACTTTCAAATGAAATGTAAAAAGTTCATTATGTCGTCTTTTTGTTAAAGGCTTAGAAGGTTCTTTTAATAATGCCCCGTTTCCACCGGCCCTACTTAGTGCGGCTCAGCTTTACTCTTCCTGGTTGCGTTTCCTTTACGCTTTAGTACCATGTCTTAGCAACCTCTGCAGGCTAACCAGGGCCAAGCAGGTACTACAAAAGTACCTTGTTTAAACCAGGTTAAACAGTGCCGGTGGAAACACTCCCATTCGGGGCAGAGTAGAGTGGAGTAGGGCTGGTGGAAACAGGGCTTCAGACAAAGGGTGTAAAAAAGTTTGTTCTGCATAATTACATGTTTGGATGGGAGACTTCTGCCATGATGGTGTGACATGTCTCTTATCAGCTGTTGGTACCAGATACATCCAGTCTGAAACATGCAGAACAACCGTTAGCACTAGCTTCTTTACACTCTTTGTCTTATTAAAAGAACTTTCTAAGACTTTACCGCTTTCACTTAACCCACCTTAACCTAACTCCATCATAATGTACAAGTGACATTATTATGAGGACTCAAACTGCTCACATGAAAACAACATACCCAGAATAATGTTAATGCTGGGGTACACAAAAAATGGATCAAAGCAATTAAATCCTTATAACTATTTCCTTCCTCTCCTGCTCTTAAAACAGTGGTTCTATCTCTAGTTTTCACCTACATGTATTATTTGGCCTTTGTCAAGATCTTTAGATCAGCTTTTTCAGGCACACAAGTAAAATAGAGAGGACCAATCAGCTCTCTGCCCAAAGCCACTAATAGTGACTCACAGTATACAAAAGATCATGTTTTCTAATAATAAGATTAAGATGGCATCACTTCAACCAAAATAGGTGCCCCAGCTCTAAAATCCAAAAAATAAAGTCTTGTTTGTATAATGCATATTTAATTAAAGGACAGTGTTCAGCGACAATGGGTTTCAAAAGATGGTTGTGTCAGATTTGAAAAGTTTCCATGGTGAGCTCAAAATGAACAAATCACATACTTACTTCCATTCAATGAGTTTTTAATCTCTAACGGTTTGGTATCTATCTAAGCTAAAAATGCCATCATGTTCTTCTATATAGTTTTATACAGTCATTTTTATTTTCTATCTTCTATTTATTATATATTTTCAAATGTTCAGATTCTTCTATTATAAGTCTATGCATAGTCTCCCCAGTTTGGATCCTCAAAAAAATGGGTGTCAATCTTTTTTATCAGACTTTAGTTCATCTGCATTCAGTCAATTACATTTTTAATGACCAAATGCAGGTTGTCCTGAGCTTTAAATGAGGTATGACATGTCCATATTAATTAATATTTGACGGAAATGAAGTTGGCTGAATGTAAAAAAAAAAAAAAAATGACGTGACAGCCATATGTGGATTTTAATGTTGGTTCAGTCGTCAAACAGAGGTTCTGGTATAGAAAGACTATATTGGTGGAGCTGAAGATGGCTGGATGACACTGTGAACTTGTCCAATAGCTACTTTGGGTTAGCAAGGCAGAGGGCCACAGGAAATGACTTGGTTTGGACACTGCTTTAGCTTCACATCAAAGGAATAAAAATGTTTGGACGTCTCTGAATTGCATCCTTCATTTTCACCTAACTGTATTTTCTACATCAACAAAACCCTCTGGACCCACATACATCGTACAATCTGATCCAAATCTAACACAATATTTGAGTTACAGTACTTGCTGGACTATAAGCTGCTACTTTTTCTTCGATCTCTGTGGTCTGTCTTGTAATGTGGCCAATGTATGTATTTCTAATTTTGCAAGAGCTCCTCATGGGGTACAGGAAGAGATTTGGACACAGCTCAATCAGCGGTCGATCTCCAGAGCTGATGACGTAGCACACATTCCTCATTCCCAGTGAGTTAATGTAAACGGCAGAGAGAGAGCTGATACAAGGAAGCGCATATAAACCCAGGACAAGTGTATATGCGATTAGGCCCATAGTCAGAATAGAGTTGATGGAGGCAAAATGTTAAGTCCATAATGTTCTAGTAGAAATGTTACTGTTGAAATAGACGGGATTTACCAGAGCGCTTTGATCACCACAAAAGCGTTAAAACACCTCGTTAATAAATTATGTTGAGTCTAGGGATGTAAATCGGTGACCGTTTAACCGGTGGTTGACCGTCACAGCGTTAACCGGTCAAAGCTGTCGGTTAAAAAAGAGAAAAAGGGGAGAGGGGAGGTCTCTTAATAACGCTATCCTAAGCCCTATTTGCACGGTGTGACGAACGGGTCTGTCTCTAGCTGTGTGCGCCAATGTATCAGTAAACTCCGGGCCAACTCTCCTGCCGCACGCGCCACATGCACACGCACACGCGCTCGCTCGCACACACACACACACACTTTCCCCCTTCCATTGATACGTAACATCCACACGCATCATCTCTCCCCTCTGTCCGCCAAAGTTGCACACTAGCGCGGGTTAGAACTATATTAGAGCTTACATTTACACACACATACAGATACATACACACACACATACCGGTCTGTCGCGGTCCTCTGTGTCACGCAGCCCAAAGTATCCAAATACGCGGCTCCAGTCAAATCACATGGAACATGTTTGTGCTGCTGGTCCTTGGCATCAGCTCCACACACATCACTTGTATTTAAACTTTAGCGACCTGCGAGATGCGGCTCGTCAGTCGCTGCTCTGACCATGTGGGCGAGCCGTTGTTTTCTGCTAAGAAGTGTGAACCCGCAGCACAGAAGTATGGAAAGATTAAAAAAGCAGTTCTCTGTGCGCAAAGGTGCCGAAGCTGTTGCGGGTTTTGGGGCCGCTGTCTCGGCTCTGATCCAGTAGAACGCAGAGCTGCACTTATAAGAAGTACGCGGCTCGAAATGGCTGTTATTTCAAATAACGTGGAATATTTTTAACTGCGCGGTTAACCGGTTTCAAGCGGTTAATGAGGCTCGGTGGTCGGTCATGAAAATTCATAGTTTTTTACATCCCTAGTTGAGTCCAGTTAAAACAGTCAATCTATCGGCTTTGTTTTGCTCTGTCAGCTGCTGGTTAAGTAATTAGATAGGAGAAGATAAGATGGACTTTATTGATCTCACAGTGGAGAAATGTACATGTCACATTTGGCATAAATAAGATCACTCAGGTTGTGCAAAAAAGACAAGGAATGAGCAAACATTCACAAAACAGACAAAACACAAAAAGTGGAAAATAGTTTCTTTTATGCAAGATGTATCATGTATAATCAAATTAAAAGCGACTATAGCCGTGTGAACACAATCTCATATTCAAATGCGGCCTCCATGTCGGAAAAATTAACGTCCTTTTCTAATGTAGCCGTTTGTGCGCTTAAGAGTCCAGCATGTTCTGTAAACGATCCTGCTTCGTATTTATTATTCATTATTTGGCTTGTTTGACTTTCCATTTCGACGCACACAGGACCCTGCTCCGGCTGAAACCCTCCAGCCGCCGCCGCCGGCCCCAGAGACCGTGAACGGTACAAACGAGGGCCGAGTCTCACCCCACACACACCACGCGCAAACCAGGGCGGAGCCGACCCAGAATGCACTGCACTTCTCTCACAGGTGACCACATGCATTCTCCACAGTTAAGACGTCGATTTGATCCGATTCTTGTAGGAGCTGTCTGATAATCCAGCGCTGCATGTGCGAGTTGTGTGAAGTCATTCATTCTTTATTAATGGTCTTCCTGAGCCCTTAGCACTTTCTGCCGAACACAGCTATAAACCCTGTATATGCTCCTGATGAATTATGCAGGCGCTAAATCATGTGCCTTGCCTCTTTTTGTAATTTATATTTTATTAGTTTTTTATTTTCTCACTTCATTGTTCCATATATTAACCCTTTCGGCGCTTGTTTGGACATTTGATTAAGATGAAGAGATCCTTTATTCGTCCCACTGTAGGGAAATCTCAGTGTTGCATCAGAAGTTACGGACAGTAGGAATGAGGAGCACACAACACAAGATAACTCTACACTAAAATAAGATCATATTTAGCTAGATTATGTTAGATGTATATATAAACGTGCATCTAGCATAATCAAAAGCAGTATAAAAATCTCTATCTTTAGCATGATGAATAATAAAGATTAAAGTACAAAATCTCTGACTTTAGCATAACAAAATACTGTATATTCAGGTGCAAGTAATCTATAGCTGTGTGTTTACATCTGTGCGAGGACTGCTAAGATCAATAACAGAAATATTTACAAGAACAAAAGTCTCCACGGCCTCGCAGCAAAGTACGTCTGTGACATGTTAGGGCCATATTATGAACCAACTGGGACTCGGAGGAGCACAGGGACTGGCCTCCTGCTGGGACTCGGAGGAGCACAGGCACTGGCCTCCTGCTGGGACTCGGAGGAGCACAGGGACTGGCCTCCTGCTGGGACTCGGAGGAGCACAGGGACTGGCCTCCTGCTGGGACTCAGGGTAGGACTAAACATGGGGAGGCAGCATTTCAGATTTATGCAGAAAAAATTGGAACAGTCTTCCTGAAATGTGAGACAGGCTTCCTCTCTAACAATGCTCAAATCCAGGCTAAGAACAGTTGTGTTTAGCTGCTACGACTGAAGGATTGTAAATTCACTCTTTTTAATGCAGTGCGATTATTTATGATCTGAATGCCTTGTGTGATCTTAATATTTATGTTCTTGTTTAGCACTTTGGTTTGCCTTATGTATGAACTGTGCTATACAAATAAACCTGCTTTGCCTTGAAAAAGATGTAAGCAAAATGTAGGGAAACGTTTGTGGGAAGCCAAGTTGCTGTAAAGAAAGTGCCCTAGATTCAGGAGCTCATGGAGACATTCTAGCACTTTGGCTTTCATTATGATCTAATTCTTCTGTGCAGTGTTGGTGTAATATGAGTATAAATATACATGTTTTGTCTATTATGAGGCAATTGAACAGGTTTTAGGTTCGTACCTCCAGGACATAGTTTGAAATATTTTTTTTAACTTACAAACAAATTGTTTTTAATTAATTTTAAATGTTGTGATTTAGGGCTACACAAAAATACATTGAATTGAGATGAAGCTGTCTGAACGGTCAGCCCGCAAACGCTCTCATATTCAGTCGACCGGTATGGCCCAGCAAAGGTTTGTGTTACAGCGCCGGTATTCGAAAAGGCAGGAGACTGATATGTGAGAGAGGGAGAGAGAGACGTTCTGCTGCTGTTGGTTTAAAAATATTTCTTCCTGCAGTTCATCCAGCATCGGTAAACACTGGGAGGCAGAGTTGGTGGCTCTGAAAGGAAACAATGCCAAACTCACGGCGGCGTTACTGGAATCCACAGCCAACGTGAAACAGTGGAAGCAGCAGCTGGCGGCCTATCAGGAGGAAGCGGAGAGACTACACAAACGGGTACGGTCCAACTCGAAGTTCAAGAACAAAAGCTGGGGTACAGAATGTAAAAATCTGGCCAAAAGTGCAAGCCTCTCTCACACTCCCTGACTCAGGTTGCCAGATATGCAAACTAATCCAGCTGGGCCCATATTATCTGAAAAGAGTGTCAATAACAAATCGATGATCAACACCTTTTTCACAAAGGCCCCGATAGAAATCCTGGTTTTATTCCTTGTTTTTCATAACGAGAATCATAACAAGACCTTTTTTTAGTTCTGCGGCCTGACATGTTACTTTACCAGTGAATTCTGGCACTCTGGCGGATCACAGACTTTCTGATTGGTAAAACGGTAAAAAGATTTAGGGGCTGTAAAACTAATTTTGAAATTCGAAAATCTCGGCTGAAATATGATCAGGTAAAGAAGTATTCAAAAATATCATGGTTTATTCATTCCTTTTGACATGTTGGGTCCATCTAAATGGGCGTAGCCTGGAGGACTGAAGGGGGCGTGAACGACACTGGGCCGTTTATATTGCTCTGGGCGGGGGGCTGCTGACGTCAGGTCCAACTTGCAGACGTCAGGTCCAACTTCTGTGCCAGTGTTGGCGCCAGATTCAAAATTCAAATGTAGTAATACAGGTCGCCAGCAGATGGCGCCTCACAGACGGTTTTAGGCAGAAAGTTTAACTTTCAACTAATTTGCACCTAAGTGAAAAAACTATGACCAGGATATGTAGACAACACTATTGGACACTCATTTAAATCGTTTATCAGCAAAAAAAAAGTGGATTTGAGGGTGAGTTGTCCTTTAATGATTACTTGATATGAAAATCTCACATATTGCTACTTTAAGTTTCAAACCACAAAACATTTAACTCTAATATTGCGGCGTAAAATGTCCAAACTGAGGCAATACGCCGCGGCAGGCTAAGACACGGGCTTTGTTGCTGACGCGTAGATTCATTCGTATGCAGATAGGGACTTACTTGATGTTTCGTGGAGTTGACTCAGTTGCCCTTCCGGATGATGATGGATGTACAGAATGTTGCTTACGGTCAACAGAAAGTAGCAGCCCGTGCTCACCCTGCCATGATGCCTAATCCCACAGGTGTGCACATGCCCCTCTTAAGCCCAACACAGGTGCAGCCTAATTGAGAGACACTCTAAACTGCCACCCAGTGAACAAACTAGGACAGTGCGTGAGCCCTCAGCCGTGTAGATACTAAAATAGAAAAAGCTAATATGTGGCTCCTACATTCCGGCCCCTAATTATTACCAAGAAATAATTACCCATCACCACTAATATGCAGGAGACACACAAACAAAACAAACATAAGTGTCCATAGAATCAATCACTGTTCTGCTTCCTGTAGCAGACAGATCTTAGTGATTGGTCGATCCAGTATGCTCGTTTTAGTTCGAACTCTTACGGTGCGCACAAGTCCATTCCTGTCAGGAACAGTGCTCAAAACTCTTGCGGTAATCCAAGAACCCCGCGGAGCCATATTGTCCAACAGCAGAACAATGTCTCCGGGCATAAAGTTTCTGGTGGTACTATTCCACTTCTGGCGCTCTTGAAGAGTTGGAAGGTACTCCTTACACCAACGTTTCCAGAACAGATCTGACATGTACTGCACCTGCTTCCAACGACGACGCGCATACACATCAGCCTTATCAAACAGACCTGGAGGTAATGACGGCTGTGACTTGAGGAGCAGGAGATGGTTGGGGGTTAACGCCTCGAAATCATTGGGATCAGTAGAAGCCTTAGTTATTGGCCGGCCGTTAATAATCGCCTCTGCTTCACAAAACACTGTAGCCAAACTCTCTTCGTCCAGACTCTGAGTCCTCACAATAGAGTTCAGGACCTTACGAACTGACCTGATTAATCTCTCCCACGCACCTCCACGGTGTGACGCAGTAGGAGTATTGAAAATCCATGTGATGCCCTTCTGCATTAACGTGTCATAGATACGGTGGTGATTCAATCTTTCCAAAGCTTCCTTAAGCTCTCGTTCCGCGCCCACAAAGTTAGTACCATTGTCCGAACGGATCTCTAAAACCTGACCACGCCTAGCCATAAACCTCCTCAAACCATTAATGAAGGAGTCAGTGTCTAAAGATGACAAGACTTCTAAATGTATGGCTCGTATCGCAAGGCAGGTAAAAATAAGGCCGTATCGCTTAACTATAGAGCGACCACGCTTGATCTCAAATGGTCCAAAACAGTCCAAGCCAACTCTACTGAACGGCGGCTTGTCCGGAGTAATCCTACTGAGAGGCAGGTCTGCCATCTTCTGATGTCCGGGACTAGCAGACAAACGTCTACAGATTACACATTTAGCCACGATCTTCCTAATTGCATTACAAGCACCAGGAATCCAATACTTTTGGCGAAGGTGAGAAAGCATATGGTTTCGTCCACCGTGCCCAGTCTCTTGGTGGATATGCCTCAAAATAAGACTAGAAATATGAAGCCCTTTATCCAAAATGACCGGATGTTTCGCATCAATGGGCATTGCGGCTCTGCTAAGCCTCCCACCAACCCTTATCACTCCGTCAACCAGAACTGGGTTGAGCTTGTAGAGACCACTCGTTCTCTTCACACACTCTCCCTTCTCTAAACTAGCCAGATCATCCGGATAACTCAAACCTTGACAAAAGCGAACAATAACCGTTCCGGCCACAACCAAATCTTCAACAGATAGCAACTCTCCATGCATCCGAGCCTTGACTTTCTCCATCTGAACTTGCAAGTTCCTATCCAACTGCTCCTTGCTCAGGTCAGATTCCGCCAGAGTCCTTCTCAACTGCTGTCTATGCTGTACTAAAGACAACAGCAGGCGTTTGAACTTGAGAAGCCAACCAACAGCTCGTTTTAAACTGAGCCAGGAGGAGAAGTGACTGACAAGCTTATTGATCGTGGTTGCATGTTCCACTTTGACTTGTAAAACGTTCACCATAGCAACCTTAACCTCTGGATCACCTTCAAGAGATGCTGCCATGACCTCTGGGTTGGTCGGCCAACTACTCTCAGGTTCTTTAAGAAAATCAGGTCCACGAATCCAGGAATGAGCCTTGAGAAAGGACACTACATTTGCACCTCTAGAGGCCAAATCTGCTGGGTTGTTAAATGTGTTCACATATCTCCACTGAGATACATTCGACCGCTGCAGGATTTCGGAGACTCTGTTAGCAACAAAGATTTTGAACCTTGATACCTCGTTCTTAATGTACTTCAAAACAGAAGTGCTGTCTGTCCAAAAAACGGACTCTTCAAGCTCCATACGCAACTCTTTCCTCCAAAACTTGTCCATCCTGCTGGCCACCACCGCAGCTGTTAGTTCCATGCGGGGGATGGTAACAGGCTTCAAGGGTGCTACACGCGCCTTGCCCATCACAAATGAGCAATGAACGCTGCCGCTTCCGTCATGAAGTATCAGGTAGGTAACCGTTCCAAACCCTTCCTCACTAGCGTCTGCAAAGTGGTGAAGCTGCGCAGTGACAACATTAAAATCTGCAGGCTTCAAACATCTACTGACCTCCCAGTTTTCAAGAAGGTAGAGATCTTTGAGCCACGACATCCAGTCTCTAACAATAGTAGGAGGCAATGGATCGTCCCACCCCAGTCTTCTGCAGAGAGCCTGGACTAGCCTTTTGGCAACCAAAATAACAGGTGCTAGAAAACCCAGAGGATCGTAAACTGAACTAATAACAGACAAAATCCCTCTTCTGGTGAGTGGACGGTCTTTAAGCGTGATCTTAAACTTAAAGGAATCTGACTGAACACACCAATGTACACCTAAAGCACGCTCGACTGGCAAAATATCATGGTCCAAATCTAAATCTTTCACTTCTTTAGCTCTGGCTTCAAACGGGATAGCTGCAATAACAGAGCGCCTATTACTAAGCCACTTGGTAAGTTTAAATCCACCCTTAGCACACAATTGACTTAGTTCATGACATAACAAAATTGCTTCCTTCTCGGACGCAACAGAAACCAAACAGTCATCAACGTAGCAATTGTATAGAATAGCGTTGACCGCCGCAGAACCAAATTGACCACGATTATCTTCAGCGCACTTCCGTAGAGCAAAGGAGGCACAGCTCGGCGAGGATGTGGCACCGAACAAATGCACCACCATCCTGTGTTCCACCGGCTCTAGCTCACATTGCCCATCAGGCCACCATAAAAATCTCAAAAGATCATAGTCCTCCGGTGGCACACGTACCTGGTGAAACATGGCCTCAACATCTGCCATGAGCACCACGGACTCCTTACGAAATCTAGTGAGGACACCAACCAACGAACTTGTGAGGTCTGGGCCTTGAAGAAGCTGTGAGTTCAGTGAGGTCCCTTGGAACGAGGTTCCACAATCAAACACAACCCGTAGCTTTCCCTTTTGAGAATGATACACACCGTGATGTGGTATGTACCACACCCTACCATCAGCTCGTGCCAGTTGCTCAGGAGGAACTCGCTCCGCGTAACCATTAGAAATCATTCCTGACATGAATGAAACATAATCAAATCGAAACGATGCATCTTTACTCAGGCGTCTTTTAAGATTCACCATTCGCTGTTCCGCAACTCTCCTATTGTTAGGCATATTGAGGTGTCGATATCTCACTGGCAGCCCAATACTGTAGTGGCCATCCACCAGCTTGACAGACTCTGAAACAGATTTCAAAAACTGTTCCTCCTCTTTTGAGAGTGCCAGCTCTTCTTGCTGCCTTTCGGGAAAATCAAACTTTAGCTGCTGTTCCCAAAGACTGTCTAATCTCGCCACAGAGATACGATTTACAGAAACCTCAGGCTGTGAATGCTTCCCATGACCAACATCTCTGAGGGGGCCATTCACAGTCCAACCAAGAATGGTCTTGATGGCATATGGACCTCCATCCATGGCACGTACCACCTCCCATGGCTCCAGTGCCTGAGGTACATTGGTTCCTATTAAAAGATCTACATCAGCATCGATTTCCGGAATACTTAAGTGTCTCAAGTGCGGCCATT